GCCCCCCCCCCCCCCCCCACACGGTCGAAAAAGCATTAAAAAAAGCCAAAGAAATGTGCTCTCAGACTCGGGACTTGATCAATAAGCGCAAGATTGATGATAGTAGCATTGCACCTAGTCTCTCATTTCGAAGTAAGAGCGAAAGCGCTTTCGTGGGAGACTATTCGGATGTAAATCAGCACGACAGCTCGACGATCAAGAGAGCAAGAGAGAAGGACGAGTGCGGAAAAGGTTCGTCTGTGTGCGTGGGCAAAGGGGGAGTGGGGAAACCACCGAGCACAAAGACGCCCGTTCGAGAATTGGCCCAGACGACTTTGTTGGTGGATGATTCGACGAGGATGACGAGGGACCGAGACTGCGCTGTATTGAGCGTCAAAAAAGATGCGCTTCTTGCTCAAAGACGAGCAATTTCAGTCTCCTTATGCGACAGGACTGTATATTTGTGAGAAAAAGGATACGATCGAATGAGGGTGTGCACGTACACAAGGACATCGAGAGACGAGGACAGAGCCAGAAAAAGGAACAGCGGGAGACGAGAGAGCTAGGAGCGTCACTCGCGACAGTGTACTTCGACCGCGCTTTATCATCCAGGGGCAATGAGCGCATGAACATCTTAGGCGACCGAGACGACACGCTGACTGAAGCTGGCGGCGCGAGGGCTAGCGCAGAGACGGCTCATGGCTTCCTTGCGGGTGCGCGCCGAGATCCTCGAGGCGAAGTTGACTGGCTGGAAGTCGGTTGGAGGTCCGCGTGGCTGACGAGCTGGCTGGGTAGGCGCAGCCAGACCGCCATTGCTGCCGCTACCCGAGTTGCTCATAGCGACGCTCTTGGCCTCAGCAGTGAAGTTGCGAGAGCGAGGAGCGGCGGTCAACGAGATGGCACGGGGAACGCTAGGAACCGACTTGCCCTGCCTGTCCACGACCGCACCGTAACGAGCAGTCATGGCAGCAGCAGCAGCTTGAACCTTGTCCAGCGTGGCACCGTCGCGAACATCCTCGTCACTCGTGTCTGGCGTGTGGACATCGGACGTGGAGCCATTCGCGCTGATTTCGCTCGCGGAATCGTCGACGACGATTGAAGGGGTAGAAGCATTACTGGCACCGGTAGCGCGCTGACGCCACGATGAGGCAGCGTCGGCGTGGCTTGGCTGACGCGGACGAGCGCTGTTCTTGTCGGATGGCGATCCCGCACGGTTGAGCTGTTGGGCAGCGCGCATGGGAGGCGAAGCCGTCTGTCCGAGACCAAGAGCAGCCTGCTGTTGCTGCTGAGCAGCATAGTGCATCTGAATGTACTGGAGGCGCTGCATGAGCTCAACTTCAGCTTGAGCTTGGTCTTGGTCCTGCTGCTGATTGCGCTGCTGCTGCTCGAGCAGTTGAGTGTAGGCTTGCTGAGTCTGACGGTTGCGCAGGTTGGCCTGGATCGTGGCTTGAGCGGCCTGACGCTGCTCGGCAGCGCTCGACTGCAGCTGCTGAGCCTGAACTTGCTCCGCGAGAGCGGCCAGCTGAGCCTGACGTTCGTACTCGGCGTGGATCTGAGCGAGAAGCAAGCGTTGCTGCTGCTGTGGGCTGTTGGCAGCCTGAGAGCGGAGCTGCTCGAGCTGTGGCGAGCGCGTGTGTCAAGTCAGTGAAAGCCTGTCAGGTGCTGTCAGGGATAGACTTACCTGAGCGAGAGCTGCCTGTTGTTGACGACGAATCTCCTCTTGTTGCTGGTGTTGACGAACGAGAGCCTCGTACGCCTGCTGCTGAGCGTTGTAGTGTTGCTGTGGCTGTCCCTGAGCCGCACCGTAAAGTGCAGCGAGGCTGTTCTGGTTCTGCAGAGCCATGGCTTGCTGCACGCGAAGTGCAGCGAAGTGAGCCTCCAAAAGCTGTTGCTGACCTTCAGCACCATTGTTCTGAGGTGGGGTCTGCTCGCGCTGGGGCGAGTTCACGCGCTGGCCTGGGGTAAAGACGGCAGCATTAGCCTTGAGCGTGTTCGGCGAGGCGGCTTTGGAACCATCTTGAGTTGAGACGGGCGACGTGCTCTGCTGGGCCTGGAACATGCCATCCTCAACGGCAGAAGGCGAGCTCGATCGAGGGCCTCCAGTGCGGAGACCGGCGAGGAGCTGAGCGCGAGACATCCTGGTTTGTAAGTCGGCTGGGTTTCGGGAAGGTGGGGATGATGAAGTGGGGCTAGTCGAACGGTTGGTTCGAACAAGGAGCGCAAGTAGCTTGACAGCAGATGCACGTGGTGATTTGAAGGCGAGCAGACTCCACTGAGTCAATCGGCGAAGCTTGCAAAAGGAGCTCGGTTTGAGTTCCCGTTGGGATTTGAGAGTTGCTGTTGATTGCTTGTGCTCGGTGAGCGTTGTCCTTTCAAAGGCGAAAGCTGATCGAGCGGATGCTTGAGGATGCGCTGTATGCTCAAGCGGATTGGTTGTTGTGTTCGAGTGCAAAAAAGAGGAGATCAAAGAGGTTGCGGTGCGATTGATGTTTGGTGTTGTTTTGTTGGCTTTTGGCGGATGAGTTCGGTCTGCTTGAGAAAATTAGTGGGGCTTTCGGCACGGAAAGGGAGGCTCGCTGTGGGGTGGACAGTGTCGAGTGCTGGCTTTGCGTGGATCAGTGCAAGGTTCGATTGATGTCAAGCTGAGCGCACAGCGCTGGCGACGGACGTCGATCGAGGTGGTTGGATGAAGTCTGAAATTTGGATCCCAGCCTATGTGAGCGGCGCGGAGCTCTTCAAGCTTTGCGTGGTGAGCTGTTGCGTGTCACCTGTTGGGCGCGCGAGACGAGCCGCGGCTGGTGAGCGAGATCGACTGCGATGGAGGAGACGGAGGATCGAAGGCGGGGCGGACAGGTTGACGGTAGAGTTTGGGAGACACGAGCCTGAGGATGAGACAGGATCGGATCACGACCGAATCTGGCTCAAGTCTGTTCGTTTATGAAGGGTGGAGTAAGAGGCAGGCAGACAAACCGTCGCTTTGAGCACAACGGGGATGGTCGGGGTGAGAGAAGGGAGAGAGAGAGAGAGAGAGACAGAGACGAAGACAGAAAGACGAAAAGGCAGACAGGAATCAGTGAGACGGTGGTGAGAGACGATGGGCGGTGAATAGGTTCATTGATTGCCTTTTACCACGGCGTTGCGCGGCGCACCCGCAAAAGCAGCTCTTGTGGCAGCCAGGCAGGCGAAAGCCGTGTGATAGCGGCGGCGCGGTTACCCGCCAGCAGAGGCCAGGGCACTTGGTGGCGGGCTGCCTGCGCATGGCTGCGCGTTGCGCCCAATCGTGACCCGTGTTCGCTCCATCCCGTGCATGCATGCCAAATGCGCTGTCCTGTCGGCGCGCTTGCATGGGGTACTCTCCTACGCAGTTACGAGTCAAATCATGCACCCGCTCTTTGACTGGCTCGCCGCTGGAGGAGTACTTCAGGCTTGCATAGCGCGTGGTGACTGACACGCGGCGTCCCGAAGCGGCGCTGGACCACCCGCGTGCCAGCAGCGAAAGAACCCGCGACGCAAGGGTGAACATGCGAGTGCATGCGCGCTTCCGGCCAGTCAAGTGTTGTCGTGACTCTGCTGCGAGGGGAGCCGGGAGAGCTTGGATGAAATCTACATGCATGAACACTCGACGCGGGTATATGCGCCGGTGGTTGATGACTGCTCCCGTGGCACGCTTGATGAAGGCCTCGCCTCGTTCGAGATCACGCACATTTCCTGTGCCGCACTCGACTGGAAGGAGGCCCTCCGCCGGTCTCTCATCAAGTTCCCCTGCGTGCTGTGCTCCTGCTGCGCCTTTCGAGTCGTCGTCGCCTTTGCCCCTGAGCCGCTGGAACAGTCTCACGTCAAACCGGAAGCACGATGCATGACAACACGCGGCGCCTCATTTGCCGCACATCGGCGCAGTGCGCTCCAAGACAACATCAGCTGCTCATCGAGCTTGACTACCAATTCTTAATCTTGAATTGAAAATTTGATTGACTTTGACAGGGGGCTTCCAGGTACATCATCAGCAGCCCATGCAGACAGATGAATCCAAAACACTTTGGATCATCACTTTGACTCATCAGACTCGAGTATGTTGCTGCGCCGCTGTCGCACCAAGATTGAAACCCATCTGCCGCGACATTATGCATGTGCTGTGAGCTCGGTGCTCGCTAGTTTTCATGCTGAGTGCAACAAGTATTGAGTGACTCTAATTCAATATTCGAGAGTCAACAGCATTGATTCTGATTGCCTCCCTCATCGAGGAATTCAAGGACATCGCACATTTATCACTCATCAAGACTCTTGACTGTGCTCTGCACGCGTGAGCTTGCGCATTCACATTTGGATGGAGGCAGCAGCGCATCAACGTGAGATTCATCAAGATCGCTGGCCGGGCTTGCTTGATTTGCATCGAGGCGAGCTGACTCAGACTGGAGACTGGTGAAGCTTATCCGTGTGTCGCTTGTAGACTCGAATTTCAGATTGCTATGCCAAGTGAGATCTATGGATGGCAGTCATGCAGCTTTAAAGTCTCGACCAAGTCAAGCGTCGTTGCGCTTGAGCCCTGCGTCTGCGTTTCTACTTGGTGGGGATGGACGCTGGTCATTCAACTCACCACTCTGGATTGCTTGGCTGGACATTCCGCAAATCAATTCACCCTTTACCGATGAAGCTTTTCATAGCGAGCGATTTTGGTTTTGTAGAAGTACAAGCATCTAGCGACAGATCGAGCTGAACGCTGCTCGACAGAGCTATGCATGGAAGCTTCACGATTGGCAGTATTGTGTCGAAGTGTATGCCTCGGGAGTTTCACTCATCAATCACAATCTGGGACTGCTGTTCTGAGCCGAATCTCGGATGCATTCGGGCCGTGGCCGCCCAGGGCGCTTCCGAGAACGAACATTTCGCTCGTTTGTGACCTCACCTGATGCGACCACAAAGATGTGGACCGTTCTGGATTGGGTCGCCACGCTGTGAGCGCGACCGAAGGACATTATTGGCAAAATCCCAAAAAGAAATACGAAAAAGTTTGTGAGTGCAGCATGCACGGGTCCTTCATGTCCGCCTTCATCTGGAGGGTGCGACCTGAACCCCTGGGCCTACGGGCCGGCCCGTGGGCGCGCTTTAGCGGAAGCAAGTGCAGCTATGAGCCACAGTGAAGGCCTGCGAGGAGGTTCTAACAAAGTCAGACCATCTGCTAGACTGCCAGCGCAGCGGAGGACCAAGGCGTTCTGTTGAGAGTCGCTAGTCTCGCATACAGAATCGCAAGCGCGAGTTTGTGTGCGCGAATCCGTGGCCGCAAGATGTCTGGCGGCGAGAACTGAGCAACTCCGTCCGACCTTGGACACGCAGTCAAAAGAGTCTGAGTCAAAGTCAAGATGATTGAGCCTTGACACCTTGAAGGTCAAGAACTCACGACTTTGCATGTTCATGAGGCTCGATGAAACCGCTATCGACCTGCCCGCTGCCCGTACGTGCAAGACCACCGCATCCAAGCCTCTTTTCTGACGGGTTCACTCTGACTTTCTGACTATCATTTGTGTCACGTGACCTTCACACGGCGCGGCTGATCAGGTGTACGCCGTGCACGCATGCAGCAAGCTTTGACTCCACAACACCGTGCAGCGCCGCTTTTATCATGCAGCCGTCAAGCTCATGACATTCTAGACTTTGACCTCGGCAGGTGGTGTTCGTGTATTCATTCTTGATTTGTTCGATCAGGTCCTCGAACCGCAGGTCGCTCTGTGCTCTTTTGAGCCTGATCTTTCTCGGCCGCCAACAGCGGCTGCTAGATCTGTTCCGCTCGGCTCAAGCCCACAACGACCCTACTACCACCCTTGCTCGCCGCCACTCCTGCGAAAGCAGGGCGGAAACGTCTACCACTTTCAACATGGCACCAAAGAAGACCGATTATCCGCGACCCTCACGCTCGATGGACCATGCAGCAGGCTCCTTGACACTCAAGAGACACACGAGCTGCTCGTCATGCAGTTGTCCCGGCCAACATCCTGCGTCAAACTCCAGCGTTGTACTCCACGACGGGCACAGTGCAGGGTCGAATTGGCAATGGGAGTGCGAGTGTGAGCACGAAGGCGTAGAAGGCCACGAGCGGGAGGAGGATCAGGAGGAGCGCCAGCGAAGGCTTAGAGTGGCAAAGCGCATAGACGAGCTTTTACAGGTAAGTACCGGCACTACATTGTCACCTCGAAGCCCTCTCTTGACCTTGGCGATCTTTCATGCTCATTTAAGGACGAAGGCAAGCTGCAAGACTTCGGCTTTGTTAACGAGGACGTTAAAAGCCTGCGAAAGTGAGTTCGCGGCCGGCACAGCGCAGAATCGTACATTCGATGCTTACGTAGCATTTCTCACTGCCCTCAGACAAATGCTACCTGCATCAGGCAGACACCCTGAGCGGAGCGTCGAATCTCCTCGCCCTTCGCACCTTGGTGAGCGAAAAAGGGGCCGGGACATTAGTGCTTCGCAGAGCCCTGCTCCTGGAAGCAGCTGCAACAGCGCAGCAGGACGCGAGTGTAAGTCTCAAAAGTCGCTTTTCAGTCCGCATATTCTCAGGCCCTTTGTCTCTATCGCTCCCTTCGCAGCCCACTTTCAAAAGAAGCGAAAGACGCTGATTGATCGGGGCCAAGGTGCGGATAGCGCAATATCTTCTCGTGCTTCTTCTCTCGGTCCTCTCACGCCTTCAGCGGATGACGAAGGTTCAGCCACAGGGCCTCGAATAGCAGGCATGGGTGAAATCGGCTCATCTGACGAAGCCTCGACAGCGCCGGAGGCCATCGTCGCGGAAGGTGAAGGTCACGGAAAGCGCCCGGCTCGCAGCCAGAAAGGGCTACCGGAGGCCACTGAAGGAGCAGCAAACCCCATCAGCGTCGAAGTGACAGAGCAACCCAAACCTAGTCGCGATGAGATCGATCGGGGCGCCGACTTGGACGCAGCGGTCAAAGGCTCTAGCATCGACGCTGGCTGGCTTGATGAGGTGAGTCAGATCAAGCTTTCGATCCCGTAATCGATGCGGCCGACAAGCTGACGGGAAGTGACCGCGATCTCAGCCCGAGGCGCCGCGTAAAGAGAGACCGGCGGTGATCGAAGAGCGCGCTGGGCTCATCCAATTCAGAGTGGTGGAGAATGACGGGCGCCCTGAGAGCATGATCATTCTTACTGGGCTCAAGAACATCTTTCAGCGACAACTGCCGAAGATGCCTCGCGAGTACATCACCCGCTTAGTTCTGGACCGGAACCACCGAAGCATGGCCATCGTCAAGAGAGGCTTGCAGGTGGTCGGTGGGATTACATACAGGCCTTTTGAGCAGAAGCGCTTTGCCGAAATCGTCTTTTGTGCCATCTCTAGCACGGAACAAGTGAAGGTGCGTTTGCTGCAGAGCCCTAGACCATGGAGCATCGCTGATCCGTTTCTCTGCGCTGGTCAAAAGGGATACGGTAACCACTTGATGAATCACGTCAAGGACTATGTCAAGGACTCGAGCGAAGTGATGCACTTCCTCACGTATGCCGATAACTACGCCATCGGGTACTTTAAGAAGCAGGTGAGTCCCTTTGAATGAAATCGCTGCAGCAGGCGCCTTCTGAAACCCAACGAACCTCACAGGGCTTCACCAAAGAGATCACTTTGCCAAGATCTCAGTGGGTCGGCTACATCAAAGATTACGAAGGCGGCACATTGATGCAATGCAGTATGGTCCCTCGAGTGCGCTATCTTGGCGTCACGGATCTGCTGGCTCAGCAGCGGCGAATGATCCTGCAAAAGATCCGTCAGATCAGCAGAAGCCATGTCGTGCACAAAGGCCTGGACGTCTTTCGAAAGAAACACGACGAAGATCTCTCCAAGCGCGAGGTCGAAGAGTCTAGCGAGGATGAAGATGTGCCACTGGCGAACAGCAATCATGCATCGACCTCCGCACCTAGCGCGTCGAACAAGAGGAAGAAATTCGTGGTGGACCCTGCCGAAGTGCCTGGCCTCAAGGAGAGCGCCTGGACACCCGAAATGGACGAAATATCTCGACGACCCAAACGCGGACCTCATCACGCCCTCATGCGCCACGTGTTGGTCGAGCTGAACAATCACCATGCGGCTTGGCCTTTCACTGCACCGGTAGATGCAGCTAGTGTGAGTGTCCTGCCTCGGACATCGATTGACGCCGGGACGCTCTGACAACCGGCTCTCGCGCAGGTTCACGACTATTACTCAGTCATCAAGCAGCCCATGGGTGAGCATACCGCGTTGACAGCAAGCGGAAAGTGCTATGCTGAGAACCTTGCATTTCACATCTTTAGATCTGAGCACCATGGAGACGAAGCTGGAGAATAATGCATACGCGACGGTGGAGGATTTGACAGCAGATTTCAGGCTCGGTAGGTGTGCTTTGCCGTAGGATCTTGCGATGGCTGTGGCACAGGCGAGAATGCTCACGAGGCCCCTCTCCCCTTGCTCATCTCTCAGTTGCTGCCAATTGCCGTCAATACAATGGCCCAAGCAATTCATACACCAAGCTGGTCAACACGCTCGAGAAACACTTTGATCGAGAAATAGGAGGTGTAAGTAGTGCCTGTACGACCACTGAGCCATCGCCAATGACTCCTTGACTGACTTGAATGCGACAAATGTCTCGTTTTGGCGTACTTTGCAGTGGAAACAAAGCTATGGTGTCTTGTGATTTGCTTCTACGAAACATCTCGATCCCGTCCGCGATTCACGATTCAAGTTCAAGTTCGACTTGTTGTACAAAGTAACGCTTCGACCAATGCGATTTCATGATTTTGAATTACGAATCACAAAGCACAAATCACAACAAAATGATGCGGTTGCTCTTCCTAGGTAAGCTCCTCCAACCTTGCCTCGCCGACCGCACGGACGGGAACCTTGGCTCTGACACGTGACTCTTGAGTGGGGAACTCACGCTTGCAGCTGAGGTTGAGAAATCGTCGGAGGTGACAGCGCGACATCACGACCGGAAGGAATCATCCTCTCTCACTCGACTCCATCCAAGCACCTTGTGTTCAACCCTGACATCCGCGGCGTAAGTCTCCGATGCTTACCTTTGATGATTCAAAGAGTCTGAGTCACGCTTAACGAAGCAGACCTCATTGCGGGAAGCACGTGAGCAAATCAAGCTTCCCAAACATTTCCTGCGTCGGTTCTTTTTGCGCTAGTCGAGCCTTGGGAAGCTTCATTGTGAAGCAAAGGTGCAAATGAAGACCCCGTTCTGTATGAAAAGGTTGCGCCTCTATAGATACGTGTCGCGGCCGTCGCACATGCGCTCATCTTGCCGAATTGCGTCGAATTGCGTCGAGCACGGGGCGCTTTTGACCCCGCAGACAGCTGAGCAGAGCAGATGATGTTCGAGGCTTAAGGGCAGCAGCTTTCCAACACGAACATCCATCCTCCTTGCGCAAGTCTCTTGGGAAGAGACGCGTAGTCCTCGGATCCATCAACTGATAGGCGTTCTATTCTGGTCTTTGCATGTACCTGCGTAGGTTGCCGACCCAGCCGATCGGAGCAGATCCATCCCGCAGCGCTCGACCAAATAGCGCAATCTGAATGCAGTCAGTCGTGAGTCATCGTGATTCACATTGTCTGTCTAGATCAGACGTGTGCAGCGAAGCCCAGCAGCGAGCATTTCTGACGCAGGCTTACGCTGGCTGGCGCAAGGGCCGTCTTGCCACGCAGGGAGAGGGCGGCCCGTGCATTCGCATCAGAAGCCCGGTTCCCTTGCAACGACTTGTTAGCTTGATATGAGAGTCACAAGTACACCAAGCGCAAGACGGTACACACGCTTCGTCCGCAGCGCTCAGATATGAGGTCATTACCGCACGGCGGTCGAGCCTCTTCCCTCAATCGGGCGCCTCGATCGCGATGGGATCCTGCGGCATCGGAGGGCTTTTGGTCTTTGGACACGCACGCGCCTCCAGTGTCTCGGCGAACTGTCTAGAGGTCCACGCCTACACGCTTGTGGGATGTCTGAACCATTTCTCAGCGTACTGATAAAATGACGAGACTATATTGGGAGAAGCTTCATTCCAGGCCTGATCGAGGGGACATGGAAGAAGCAAAGAACCGGGAGCCAGCTCGCAGCGCGATCAGATCTCTTCTGCACCCCGAGTACATCTATGTGCGGTCGTTGCCGTCAGGCTCAGGCTGGAGTCTCGCCGAGCATCATCCATCGACTGCACCTCGTCTGAAGAAGACCGCGTGTGCAGCCGCTTCACAGTCCAAAATGAGGTCTTCATCGCATTACGTCGCCGTGTAAGAGACGTTCATAAGATTCCAGCACCTACCCCTAATCGCTTTGGTCGAAGCGCTGATGGCATCACCTTTCGGCTCCTTGGGTCTCTACACGGGTCTGTACACTGCCAATTACGTGCCAATAGCTAAGACTATAAGACTGCTGGACGGTTTTACCGTATAGATGGCGCCTTCTTTCCGGCTGGGGTGAAGCTTCGTCCTCTCGACAACGAATTCTGCATCAATCAGTTCCCAGTCGCTTGATGGCATTCTCGCATTGTCATCATCGACAATGGTAGGCACGCAAAACGCAAGTCAGGTGGCAAGCGGGCCAAGTGCTCAACACCTGCCATCCAGACCGCCTCAGGATGAGCTCGAACTACCGATACCTCCTACAAATTTAATGTTTGCTTTGCGAAATGGGAGACCGAGAGGCACTACACTCAAAGAATCGGCATGTGCCCAGCGCTACGTTCGACGTGGAGATGCGTTTGACGCGACCACTGCAGTCATAGGAACGGGTGGGTGAGTGCCAATTATCACAGTCGAATAGCTGCGGCCGATCGCAGCGATGACTTACACGCCCGGTTTGGTGCGCTTCTCAGCTTTGGGACTGCTTATCGATACGAGGTGAGTACTGCGGCCAGAGACTCGAGATCGTCTGCAGAATGTAACGCTAATGCTGTGACGCCCTTGCTCAGCGGGTTCCCGAGCCCGAGCAGAGCGCTTGGACAGCCTCCCCAGACTCGAGCTTCTCTGCGCTGAGCGCGTTTGGCGCCTCGTCGAGCCACACGACCAACACGTCCTTCTCATCTCCGGGACCCAGCCCAAAGAAAGCAGCCGTGGCGCCCTCAGTCGCGTCATCACCACACCGTGACAGCATCCCGATGGAGCGCGAACACGTCGAAGCACTTGATCAGCAAGAATGTGAGCAATTCGACAAACAAATGCGTAAGAAATTGAGCCACAGACACCTGGCCCAAACCAGCGTGCCCCAACAACAGCTCGCGGCGCATACGTCAGGCGTCACTTCTGAGAGCAATGCAAATTCCCCAGCAATTATGCCGGACAGCCCGCAGCAATTGTCGCCCAACAAACCACCTGCCGTGATTGTCGTCAAAGTCTGTCGGACGCCGACCACAGGCAGCTTCGATGAGCTGCCGCGATGTGGAGTTCCGCGCGCCGAAGTCAAAAGAGCCGAAGCTCTTCTTAACGCACAGCGCAACGGCGAGCTTACACCCGATCTCTCGAAGATAATGCACACTCGCATCGTGCGGGGCGAGCTTTTGCTCCTCAAATTTCTTCAAGGAGCTGCGACGGCCGAAGGTTTCAGTCATCGCCGCACTCACACGGTCAGACTGATCGCAGACATGTCCATGCATACCGCATGTTCGGCAGTGACTGCCCTGGATCCGCTCAGCGCTCAAGCCAGCACTGCTGCCACGTACGAGCGCGTCGAGGGTGGCCCGCCCTTGCCTCGTCTGTTGGTTTTTGAACGACTCGTCGACCTAGACGCCCATCTCACTCCTCGCGGATGGGTCAAATCGCGTACACCATGGACAGTTGCGCAAGTGGAAGCAGCCGCGCGCGACGTCGCGAGAGGTCTTCGCTTCCTCCACTCTCACTGTGTGGCACATGGCGACCTCAAACCGTCCAATCTGATGCGATGCGCAAAGACGGGTGTGGTCAAGCTCATCGATCTCGGCGCCTCGAGACGATGGGTGCGCCTTCCTGTGGACAAAATGAGCAGCACCAGCGTGGTCGAGGGATTGGACGAGGCCATCATCAACGGCCAATTGAGCAGAGATGACTATACTCGCGATGTCGTCTGTGAAGGACTTGGGTCATTTACAGGCTCGCCGCACTTCATGGCCCCGGAAATTTTGCTGCAAGCGAGTCGGTATCTCAGCACGGACGGATACGCAAGGTCGGTGCTCGACGACCATGTCAGAAATCCAGCCGCTCTTCCTGCTCATATCCCGCTCGAATTGCTCGAGCTGTGCTATGACGACTTCAAACGCGGATGGGGAGTGGCAGCTGATATCTGGAGTTGGGGCTGCACGGTCCAGCTCTTGATGATGCGCACACAACACTCGCTAGAGAGACCCAGATCTTCAGCGGTCTGTCCGTTCTCATTCTCCTTCGAGCATCATCTCGAGGACGCCATCGCACCGCTGTACCCTCAAGACGAGTCGGAGAATGATTTGCCGCGATTCCGACTTTGGGCGCGCTGCTTCTCTCTTCAAATCACGCAGACATTGATCTCTGGGGTAGAGCTCATCGACTGCTGTACCTATCTGTCGCCACAGGTGCTGCACGGCCTGAAGCAAGCGATGCAGGGCAGAGATGCTCGCCCAAATGCGACACAGCTCTGTGAAATCCTCAGGCAGCCGGTGCAGGGCCTGGGACTCGATCTATCCGGCCTGACAGAGCCGGACCATGAGGACAACATTGTACTGCAACCGTCGCTGCCCGCGACCCCGCAGACACATTGTAGCAATCTTTCTCGTGCTGACTCCATCCACAATCTGGACGGTACCTCGAGCACAGGGATGAGCTTGCCTTCCCACATGCATCGAAGCATGAGCAGCGCGATGCAAGCTCGAGAAATGGTCCATTTCAGTGGTGCGCAAGACGATTACGAAGCTGACCGCGGTGGGCTTGCTGTGCGATTGGAGAAGCTGTCACAGCGCCAGATTGACGCGCCATCTTTGCCCGGACAATCTCAGCTGGCAACAAGAAGTCTGCGGCAACCACTTACTCTATCCACGGCGCCGACTCCTACAGACAGCACGAACCTGTCGCCATCGGATGCGGAATCCCCAATGTTTCCAGACGTGGACATGGATGCAGACCTGCTGGGTCTCCATCTCATGGCTGCGGAGGCGATGGACATTGATGTCGACGACGTGGGCGGTGTGCCAGAGCAGCGTCTGCTTTCAGCTCCATCTTTTACCAGACACGCCGAACCTCAAAGCAAGAGCAACGCTACGTCGATTGAAAATGACGCTGCAAGTGCACCCTCTCTGCTCAACTTCGAGGAGCGAGGCAACGGCGAACACCGGGGCACAACGCCCACACCGACGCCTGCGCCGTCAGAGTCTCAGAATCAGCAGCTGAATCAGAAGCGCTCTCTTGGTACCCTCCTACGCCGAGGGAGCAGCCTGCACAAGGTTCGGTCTTCCTTCGGCGGCTTGCGAACGGGCTCCCGCGCGCTTGAGCGGCCCAAGGAAGGAGCGGAGTCTCGCTCAGACATACACTGGCGTTTCATGCTCGACGATGCGGATGCTGCTCCAGTTGACGAAGAACAAGAAGCTCCCAAGGCTCAGCATCCCAGCACTACAGGGCCCGTTTTCGAAACCAAATTGCCGTCTGCGCATTCTAGAGGTCGTTCTGGCACTCTGCTCGCGCGTCGGTTGAGCATTGCCAAGTCTCTCATTCAAGGCAATTCCCCAAGCGACACCGCCGGTGCTCACGCAAAAGAACAGGCGATACCTGAATTCGAGGGCGAACATGAGACTGGCGCGTCGACGAGTCCCAGCAGGCAAGCTACACCTGCCTGGCGTCGCCGGTTGACCATCAGCAGCAAGTCCGCGCGAGCGTGAAAGAGGCATGATGCCGCTTGACAGTTCGTCGCGCTTATGGGCGGATTGCCTCTGGACCAGCCCTTCTGATCGAACTTAGTCGAACTTGCAGTGGACTTGACGTGGTCATTCTGGCCATTCACTCTCCATCTCAGATCGAAGTCCCATACTATTTAGTGCCACATATACTAATTCGCGTTCTTGTGCCTGACCGAATCGATTCTCGCGCCTGCAGCGTTCCCCCATTCTGCTTGTAGCCATATCGTTACCTGCCAATCGTGTATCTGCTGTGCGATCGAGTATTTCCCAGCCAGCCATTTGCAGCCAGCTAGCGCCTCGTCTTGCTTCTTACCGGCTCACGCACTATAAAGCTGCCAAGGACGCAGTTGCGAAGCAAGACGCTGGACGATGATTGAGGAGGTAGGTGCCTTTTGAGGAGCTGATACGTGCAGACACAGAAGCTCTCAAACATGCGAATGGTAGGTTTGGCCTCGACGAGGGAGCAAATTCCTCTGCACAGTCGTCAAGTCTGACCGGAGCTACGCTTGGAGTCACGAGCCCTGGACCCTCTCCTCCCATGAATTCGACAATCGTGAATCGTGAATCGTGAATGTGTAGCAACCGCGTCGCTGCTGACGTTGGCTTCTGCCGAGAGCATTTCCCGTGCCTGTTGCTCCTGTGCCGGTGCCGGTACAGTCGTGAGCACCGGTATCATTCGTGATTGCCATACGCAGCTTCGCACGCAGCCGTAGCCCTTTCTGATTCATCGACGCGTGCAAGATGTGCGGACGCGCCACACAGCGGCACGGGAGAAATCGAGGCATCTGAGCGCATCGCTACGCAGAAGCTACACATGTACAGTAGCTGCAGCTGACGCATCTGCTGAGAGGCGCGGCCGCGGCCTCGCCTTCGATCGAACTTCTCAAACAAAAAAAGCCTCGATCGCGCGTGTGTGCGTGCCGTCGCGGGTCTGCAGCAGCTCGCTCGCGCTACACGACGAAATTGAACTCCAAAATCTCAGACTCACGACTGTTGTACGTGTGATTGTGATTCACGATTGCATGAATCAAGAATCGTCAATGACGAGTGTCGAATCGTTCAGTCACGAGTCACGAGTCACGAGTCACCAGTCACCAGCGTACGCACATCCACCTTCACCTGCACCTCCTCCGCGTTCTTTGTCAACTGCATTCATCACATCGCAACAACGATCAGGCTAGTGTGCGCTAGAAATTTGCTACGTGACCCTCTCTTTGCTCGAGTGTGCAAAACATTCTAGTCATGTCTGCACCGACCACATTCAGCTGGAAGTCGGGACCTCAGGCAGTCCAAGTAGCCGGTAGCTGGGATTCTTTCGCGAGCAAAAAGGACTTGAAGAAGCAGGCGGATGGATCATTTGAGACTTCCGTGAGTAGTAGCAGCTCGAGTGCGATCTACCAAGCTGCACGCAGCGTCCAGGGCACAACCGCTCATGATCCGCTCCTGCTTGCTCGGCTGCCATCAGCTGGACCTGCCAGCTACAACCAAGTTCACCTACAAGTACATCGTAGATGGGTCCTGGCAAATTTCCCCGCTCGAGCCCACTGAGGATGATGGTCAAGGAAATGTCAACAACTTTCTGACTACCACCAAAGCCCAGCTGCAACCACAATCCCCAGCTCCCTTTGACAACTCTGTGCCAAACACGCCTCTACCCAAGAGCGATCCTGCTGATCCCAAGGCGCCACAGGCTGGAGCAGCTGACCTTACCAAGCAGAACTCGCTAGGGGGAGTGGCTGCAGCTGCGGCCGGCGGCATTGCTGGAGCAAGTGCTGGAGCGGCTGGTATCGCTGCCGCGTTCGTCGGAGCTGCAACGGGAGAAAAGTCGGACAAGGCGACGGATGAGCAACAGAAGACCGCTGACCAGGCCGTCAAGCAAGCTGCGTCAGGTGCTGCTGCCGTCAAAGAGCAGGCTACGAGCGCTGTCAAGTCCACTCCTCAGGGAGCTCAGGGTAAGTTTTTCCTCCTTGACATGCCTCTACGTGCCGGATGGAAGGCGGGTGCAGGGCTGGAAGCTTCGCGCTGCGTTGTTCAACGCAGACTTGACATTCTGTCCTTACATCACGCACCGCCTTTCCCCTCGTTTTTGCTCACCCTGGCTTAGCTGCGGCGGTTTCGATCCCTCCTTTCTTGACAGGCGTTTTGGCTGCTGCGTCTGCTTCGGTTGCTGATGCTCTCGGCACCGTCGTCGGCCAAGATGTGTTGCGTGGCAACCCGCAATCCGTTCCCACCACGCCAGCTCCCGAGACCGCACCCAAAGGACTCGAGTACGCAGGAGCAGGTGCACCGGCACCAGTCAGCGCGTTGGGCAAGACGCCCACTGCGGACGAGCTCTCCAAATTGGCCCAGAGCGAAGGCAAGAACCCGGCTGATGCTGGTGCGGCGGCTATCGCTTCTCAGGTCTTCAATGCGACGGACGCTGTACCTGCAGGAGCTAGCACTACAAATGCACAGCCCGCACACGCGCCTTTGGGTACTACTACAGGTGTGAGCAGAACCGATCGCGAGCCTGCACTCGCAACCGGCAACACCGGGCTTGCTGCGGCTGCGGCTGGAGGAGCAGCAGGAACGGCCACCTCGAGCAAGGGTACTAGTGGATTGGCAGCGGCTGAAAAGAAGGATCTCAATGGAACAACGAGCAAGGCGGAATCTGTGGCACCGCACGCTGGAAGCTCTGGTTTGGCAGCAGCGCAGCCCGTCAACGGGGCGCCCGCTACACCAAAGAAGGCCAGCAGCGCAGCGGCAGCGGATGCCGCGGCCACAGGTACCCCAGCATCAGCCAAGAAGGGCTCTCGATTCAGCACGATTGGAAGGCGCAAGAGCGCCGTGCCTTCAGAAGGTGCTGCGAATGGGGCTGGAGCTGCAAGTTCGGAACCCGTTCCACCCTTGCCTGTGAGCACATCGACCGGTAGCAACCTGAACGGTTCCACTGCTGGCTCGAATCCTGCTACGCCCGACAGGAAGCGCAAGCAGAGCATTTTTGGAAAGCTCAAGAGCGCACTTAGCAGCCCTTCGGGCAAATCGACTCACGCCCAATCCGGATCCACCTCTTGAGCATCTCGCCCGAGCTTCCGACCATCCCTTGGGCAAAAGCTTCAAAGTTGCAAAGTACGCACCCATCAATACCTGCTTGACTGTCTCGTTGACTTGCTCTGTTTCTTTCCCTCGACCGCTCGTTCTATGCTTTCGCTGCGCGCCTTGCTCCTAATGTACGACGAGAGCAAGACTGTTGTACATGCTGCTCAATGCGATGCTCCAAGTCATGCACGTGATCTCCTTCTCCGTAGGACTCCAGATCTGAATTTTGGACTTTGACTTGCAGTCCAGCTCTGAGTTCACGATCACGAGCCTGTGCACAGGTCGCACACTGACGATCTTACTCGAACCGACGCTGTGACTGATCTAAACTGCTGCTCGTCGAGCTGACCGGCACGCACGCGCGATTCAAGATTGTGGATACAGGTGCATCCCTCGTCAAATGTCGCACGAACATCGTTGTGCCAATGTCTGAGCGTTCAAAGAGCGTGGGGATTGTGTTTGCTTTCTCGTGCCCGCTATCTAGCAGGCTTGCGAGTCACAACTACGGTCGACAGCGGCCTTGACTAGATAGCGCTTGGGCGTGGGCATGCGCGTTGCGCAGCCAACGTGGTCCCACCACTCGCTTTCCTCGCACCACGAACACCCGGATCCGGACTTTGGAAAGCGAGCGTACCAAGCTATCGGAACGAAGATGAGCAGCTAGCTGCACGATGGACACGCCCTTTAGTTGAGGGACCGCCGCACGAGTGACTCCCCAAGATTCCGCTACTGTGCTTGCGTGTGAATTTGCACCAATAAATGCGTATCGCCCCGTTTCGTGTAGAGGTGCCGTCTTGTCTCGATTTGCGAATTCGCAGCAATGGGTAAAGCATTCGTAATGAATTGACTGGCTGCTTATTGCAGGAGCAAGTATGTACCGTGCTGCGGGGCTTATCGCCGCATGTTTATCCCTGATATGTATGTACCACCGTTGTGACTCGTCACCGCGCACGAGCGGGCTATGTACCAGTCGTTCGGTCGACTTTGGCAATCTCTAGTCCTTCAAGCCGCACCAAAGCGCAAGCCCGGCCTGCTCTCCTTCCGTCTAACTGTGTCGCAGTTGAGATCCACGGAGGCATTGGTGACTGCTATACATTGTACATTGCCCCAGCTAGGGTCGGGCGAAAATATCAGGCTGCTGCAGGGCAACTTCCCGTCGGTGAAGGCCATTCAACCCATTGAACACGATACGTCTCTCTTGTTGAGTTTTGTGAAGTTGGCGACGACCTCAGAGGGTTGCCTGGCACGGAGCGGTTTCTTGCAACGATGGCCTTGCGCAGCGGACTGGATGAAGTGTGCATCGTCAATGGTGAAGCGCGGACGCTTGACCCTTCGAACTCATTTGCCTTGCCCCCCCTCATCAAGAAATCAGGCGGTGCATGCGCTCCCTCAACGGATAACGGACTTTCGGCACATTCAAATCACGAATTGCGCATCCGCCCGCATCTCCGCTCACGCGCTACACCCGAACCAATTAGCGTCGCTGAATCAACTTCACGCATCACTCGCCAAGTCCAGCATCAGGTGCAACGGCAAGAAATCAATCTAAGAAATCGGTGGCTTGCTCTGACATCCTTTGCTAAGGTGCAATATATGCACTTGAGCCATGGTGGAGCAGCCTTGTCCTAGCTATAGCTCACCCCGCATTTCTGTTGTAGAAAAGGGCCGTTTGCCGAAAAAGGAGGCCTTGGAGCACGTCAGCTTCGACTGACGATGGGTATAGTCCGACTAACGGTGTGGAAAAAGTGTGGTCCTTCCGATGAGGCGATCATCGTGGCGCAGGGTCTCATGTTGATCGGCGCTTCTACAGCGCTGCTGCTGTCTGCTCTTGCCTGGCTGTGCTGCGATCAGATCTCGAGCGGGGCTGCAAACGCGCTGTAGCCGTACTTGTCCGACACTGTGCTGCTGGCTGTGCGGCTTACAGCATGGAGAGCACCGCAAGATGCTGGGCCGAGCTAGCTGCGACGCCAAGACCATCCTTGCTGCTGGCGACGCAACAAGGCGCTGGGTCGCATGGGCGTCGAATTGCTACCTGTACATTCAACTCTGATGCACTCAGACGATGCCTGCTGTGTATAGGTACAGCTCTGCATGATGCTGAGCCGACTACACTAGAAATTCATGGCCGTGTGGCTTGCGAGCTCACGTTTGCTCGCAATTAACAAGCCCTGGCCGTAAATCTGCGAAGGAATTTGCCCGCCCGGAGCCGTCCCTGCGCCACTATACTACTAATGCCGCGAAGACGCGGGCCCTGCGGTGCTTCACTGCATGGTTCTGGCGTCGGTGCTTTCCTATGCAACGTTCTCTAAGCTACGGTACACTCACGACTGAAACGATCCACGATGCTCTTGGTTACGCTCAGACATGGATTGACCACGCTTCTTTGATTGCAGTGCCGAGGTGGATGCTGATTTGGGTCAATGCGGAGACGCACTCCGCTCTGTTTCTATTTCCGTAGCGTAGCGTCTCTGCGGATGCGGTGGTCCGGAAATGGAGTGCGAGTGCAAATGAGTCGTGCAGGATCAGCAGCAAGCGATCGAGCACCAGCATCTGTACTGTAGGTAGTCAGTCAGCAGTGATCACAAGTAGTAGTCAAATACGTGATGAACGCGCGCGACGAACTGCGCCGCAGAAGAGTTAGGATTGAAATTCGTGATTTGTGCGGTGCGCCTCGTCTACACGCGCGACTTTCATGTGCTGCACGCGGCTGCACATGCGCAGCAACCACCAGCGCAACAGCAATTGATGAGCGCGTACGGGCACTGCGTCCTGGCAAAGCATGCATGCATGCATGCATGCATGGTGGGCCCGAACGGCGCGCTGCTGTGTTTTGTTTGTTAATTGGATTAGGCGGATGAAATGCGCAGTGCTGAGACACTGTCAAGCCTCAACACGCAGCAAGCGAAAATGCTATTCTCATCAGACTGTTGTAGTACAGTGTGACTCACCACTGCTGTATGCGTAGGGTGCAGCTAGCTCGTGGTCACTCACCATACTGACCGGCCTGTCGGACGGGTTCGACTGCTGACTTGCACGCATATAGCGTGGTAGTACATACAGTCTGGCTTCCTCGCTAGACACTTGTTCCTTCCAGCCTGCAATCCCAAGCTGAGGAGATAGAATGCTCCACGCTTCTGGAAGGGCTGTGCCGAGACGTTTCTGTCAAAAGACCGTACCGTAATGTACCGGTCGTCTTGCATACGGTATCGATCGAGGCAGAGACGCAAAGCATTAGCCGCTGCAATAGACCTCGAAGGGGAGGAGGAGCGAGGGGATTCCTCTCCAGAAACATTTGCAGCTGGGCTGCCTCTTTATCCTTGCGACGAGTTTTCAAGCCGGGCGTGCAAGGACAGCAGCTATAGCTTTGTTGCGTTCCTACGGTCACGAGCAATGCTCCTCCTACTTCTGCAGCACTGCGACACGCGCGCCCCATTCCGTCGTTTGCGAGAGTGTTCAGGAGGGTTGGCTGTTGGGTTCTTCTTCATAATTGTGAATGTTGCTTCATATGCGCGATTCCTGGAACATGATCGCGATCGGGTATTTGGCCGCTCCACGCAGCCATTTTGCGCCCAAAAGACCGGAGCGCTGCACCGCAATTGCCGAATTGCTTGCTTGCTTGCTCTACCGCCCTATGGTCGTGACCGATCGATCGACACGCGACTGCAGTAGCGCACCTGAACACTCACCACTCACTAACTCATCACTCACGCAGCTGCAGTCACCAGTCACACTGAATCGGTGCTGCGTCCAAACCGCTGCGCTTCCTAGCTTGGAGAGCAAGGCCCGCAAGACGGATGCGCCTCTCTGCGCATATACATCTGGTGCACTAGTGCTGCTATGTTTGCTGCACTGCCACTCTGACTGCAGAGTCGCAGTGCCTGGTTGTCCTTCGCAGGTGCCCTGTCGATCTCTTCTGCGTTTCTTCACGCACGCGTGCAGGCCACTCTTCGAATCGCACCTTCGCATCAATCACACGGCACCTCGAGCGGGCTCAGTTCGAAGGCTTGTGTTGTGATATCGCGTCTCCTAATCACAAAAGTGTCAGCGGAAGCCATCGTGACCAGCTGTCGCGGCCCTCATTACATGTAAGGTCAATCTACGACCACCTTCGAACGACAGTCATCAATGCTCTACATTCTTAACATCACGAACTTCAAAACTAAAATTACAGCACCACGGCAGGTCCCTCTAATTCACTCACACGACCATTCAGCTTCCGCTTCCGACTTAACGCTAAGCCATACGGGGCTCTCGCATCCTCACTTCACATTCGCAGATTCCAACAACAATCCTGTCCACCACTGGACTTTTCGATCACGCAACACCCATACTGTACGCCCGCCCCCTCCCAAAATCTGACGCTACGGGTGGCCTCGCAGATCCGATATTACGTGTGCTCGAACGGCGGCAGCTCAAGAGAGCCAGTCCAGGCATCCTCCACTCGAAGGACCTTCGCTGTCAGCGCTCGCTCGACGCTAGGCGCTGATCAACCATGGCGAACATGTATCCGTCTCTCGAGGGTACGCTCTACGTGCAAGCTGGAGGCTGCTTTCCTGAGGATGCGTCCACCCAGTATAGGCCCGCGGAATCCTCCAAGAGAACGCCTGGCGCTCCCGCATTTGCGTCGTCCTTGTGGTCCTCTTCACGAATCACAGACTCGGCTTCGAGCGGATCATGGGAGGAGAGGTGGTGCACTTTGAATGCGGGCACACTGTACATGTACACGGACAGGTGAGTTGCTTGCACCTTGACCACCCCGATGCGCCTGTCAGCAGCTGCGGACATGACTGCTGACGCCGCACCACCACCACTCACACCACAGCACGACGGCAAGTGCGACCCCAGAAAGACCCATCAAGTCGGTCTCACTATCGCACTATGTCACAGTCCGCAACAAAGACGGACATGATAGCGCATCTAGCGACGATTTACCAGAGTTTGAGCTCATCGCACGAGCCAGCAACACCAGTGAAGCCTTTGACGCGCGAGAGCCATCAACTTTCCCAGCCCCAGTGCCCTCTGCGGATACCTCTGCTGAGCAGCGCAAGAGGCATCGTATGCTCCCTCGCTCTGCGACGAGCGGCAGTCTCAGTGCCGCATTTCATCGGTGTGCCGACACCTTTACACCTGGACAATCTCGCCAAGCCTCCGAAAGCATGCGAGGTCCTTTGTCTCCTTCAGGTTCTGGAGGCGTGCATCATTCCTCGCCGTCTGAAGGCCAGGATGACCGCGAGGCGTGTGCAGCTCAAGCCGACGGCTTCAAGGAGAATCGACGAGGAAGCGGACGGTGGACCAAAATGTCGTTGGGCTCCAAGCGTCTTCTCAAGCTGTTGTCCGGAGGGCCGGACGGATCGTCGCAGGTCATGTCACCCACGTCCAGCGCGTCTTCTCTCTCCAGCCAAGTGCGACGTGATCGATCATGGACGTCCAACTCGATGCGAGACTCGAAGAGTCCATCACCGGAATGCGACAGCGTTCAATCTCACGGATCGGCTTGGAGCTACGCTATTCCCGTCATGCCCACGACCAACATGCGCCTGCGGGCCCCAGACGCCCACGCGCATAGTCGGTGGACAGATGCGCTCTGCTGCTCCATCAATCAGAACGGTAGCCCGCGACGGAATTCCGTCTCATCTTCGCGACCTTCGAGCAGGCACAAGCGACCTCCTGTGCCCCCCTTCAACAGCTCCGAGACCTCTCAAGTAAATACTTCGCGTTCCACCGTGCTGCCAGCATCCCAATCCACGTCTTCGAGGATCATCAGATCTGACTTCACGGCTGGGCGGATATTGCGAAGGAGGGAGGGTGAGAATGTTCCCGAGATGTCAGATGCTAATGCGACTGCCCTGGCGCTTGCTAGGAGGTCCTCTGGAGGGTCGATGCATCGCTCAAGCCTGAGCGTGCCGCGCGATAGCCACAGCTCGACGTGCAGCAGCGAAGTGAGCGGCGCAAGCCTTCTCAGCGCTCATAGGCGGCCAAGCACATCGACTGGAACGTCGATCGAAGTGTCGAGGACGAGCTCCTCGAGCGCTCACCGACGGACTGACTCCAAAATCAGCTCGCCTCCACCTGTGCTCACTGCGTTGAAGCTAGAAAGTATCAACAGGCTCTCCTCGCCCAAGTTGCAATCATTCGCCTTCGTAAAGACTTCGGACAGTGCGAGCGGCGTCGAGGGCGCGAGACCGACCAGCAGTCAAAGCTCCAACAGTACACTCGACGCCTGGACGCAGGCTGCGAAAGGAGGGTCTGGCAATCAGAAGCAAAGTCCTGCTGTCGAGTCGCTCGAAGTGCCCGACGACAAGACGTCGGCACAGAGTCGCTTCAACATGCTTCGCAAAGCCTCGGCATCGACGATGACGGGCAGAGAGTTCAATGGAGCCTGCTCTGGACTTGGGCTGCACCTCGAGCAGATTGGGCGATCTACAGAACCGAGCTCCTTCGTCTATGGCTCGCGCGTCGGGACCAACAAACGATCAGCCATCAGCCACGGAGCGACTTCGCCTGTCACGCCTACATCCGCAGAGGGTCACGCGCTCGGTCGACCCTGGTCGAAAGGACAAGGAGGGCGAGAAGCCAGCAACGAATCTTTGCGCGCGCCCGATCATCCTTATGGCTATGGTTCCATTCTAAGCGCGAGCGTATCCAGCGAATCACTGTCTTCATCTTCGTCCTCTGCACGCAAGGCTGGATTCATGCGCACGCCTTCGCTGTTCAACCTTGCTGCGAGGTTTGGCGGCAACAGCTCGATGAGACCGCCACGGCTGAACAGGCGACGCACCGAGGGCAGAAGCTCGACCATCGACTCTTGCTCCCCGAGCTCCGAGTTCGTCAAGTCCGACGAAAGGCAGGATTTCGGCGTCATGACGGGCGACGCGAGCATTGACAAACGTCTTGCGAATGTGCGTTCTCAAGCTGTTGCTGACGATTCGGTGAAGGGATCATCGTCCCTACCTGTCATTAGTCTAGCCTCCTGCACCGATGTACAAGATGGCAACGGTCGCCAACGCAATGCAGGTCCAGCACTGTTCCCTGCGAGTCAAGCAATGGCGCAACAAGGCTCCAGTAGAACGACTGCATCTGATTTGACTTCGCCTTGCTTATCTGACGCATCTACTGCTGGTCCAACGACTCCGGGAAGCCCCATGTGGTCAAGGCACGGGTTTGAATTGGCACCGATCAGTCCTCAGACTGAGAAACCGACGCGCCGATCGCCTCGTACTGAGGGCAAAGCCCTTCCGCATTCGTCTCCCCCGGTCGTTGAGCGCATCTTGCCGCCGGATGAGCTCATTGCGACGATTGATCGCATTCGAGCTTTTGAGATCGCCAGCGCAGACGCCGAGCCTCGAGCCTTCCCTTCCCCTGGCATGCGATCAGCACGACCCCGTACCAGTCCAACGCTGCTGAAGCCTGCTGCATTTGGTCAGTCGCCATCACCGGTGCTGAGCACATTCGGATCTCCCCCGACACGGGAAGCCGGTCTCTCGCCGCATCCTGATCGAAGCATGGAGTCGCAGCTGCCTGCAGACCACAAGCTTGCTCCGAGACCACTGGATGGCTTTCAACATTCACTCCCTGCTCCACCGCGATTGGCGAAACGGCCAAGCAGGCTACTCATCGCGAGTGGGATGGTGTCAAGCGCAGAGTTGACTCCTTTCGAAGCCGCACAGTCCAGTGCGGATTCTTCAGGAAGCGCGACGCCTGTAGGCTCAGGGACTTACAGCAAGGATGATCTTGCTCCCCTGAAGCAGGCCGTGCCCCGTATATCGGCGGAAGGTGAGCGACCATGGACCACCGGAACACGTATTCGCGGCACCAGCTTCTCCACGATGGGCGTCAAGAGCTCGCCTGCACCTTCTCCGACCGCTTCGCCCGTGCGAACGCGAACGACGACTTCTCTTGCCGGCACGCCATCTTCCACACGACATCGATCTAGTAACCTATCCACTTCCACTTCCACCTCGCTCTCGTCTCAGTGGGAGAACAATTGGACGAGCCGCGACGCTGCTGCGTGCTAGCGCGCCAGATGTATGGCGGTCTGCGTGACGTGCTCGAGGACCGCTCTCTGCGCTGCATGCGCTGCTTCTTGCCATGGTACACCATCGGCCCAGCTAATACACATTACTGCCTAATATAGACCTACAAACTGCCCCGTCTCTCCACCTCTTTGGGCCGAGACTCTTGATGTCATTGCCACATTTGTACGCCGATGGTCTAGATGATCAACATGCTATCCTCACTCTTCTATAGCCGACTTTAATAATGAGATGTGGCTTGCCTCGCCAACACTTTGCTGTTGTAACCTGCGGCGACGCTTTGAGAATGGTGTGAAGCTTCTCATATGGATACACTCTCTTTGATCTGCTTGCCGTGGTTGCGGTCTGGCCACAAGCTCTTCTCTTGCCTGGCGCGGCCACTCGTAGCAAGAACATGACCGGCGTGCGAGAAAGCTTGCAATATGATGGATATGGCCTAGCCGGGAGCCGCATGAATTAGAACGATGCAGCTGGATGTCTTGGCAATGTGACGCGCGATGGCGTGCTCAGATGGCGAACATCAGCGAATGCATTGCAGATTCACATCGTGTGGTACACTCACGACTGCAAGCGATCGATTCAGTACTCTTTTCTCTCGTGTGTCTGGCAGGGAGCAAGAAGCCTGTCAAGATGGATGCAATCGTGAGTGAGCAAGTGGACTCACGACTTGGTTGACTCTTATTGCCCTAATGAGGAGTGGCGGCAAACGACAAAGTTGTGCCGCGGGCGCACTTGCCCTGTTCAACTTTACTTTGCGAAGTCTCGAGTCCATTTGACCTGTTGCTGACAACTTGTTATTGCTCGATTGTGATCAGAGACGCCGACGGTGTCGGCTGTGCGTTCTTGGTGCCGCAGGCTTGTGCGCGTCCATGTATGTGGCTTCGCATGACCTTGCCGTGCAATTAAAGTTGCGAAACCGCACACAGCACAGCCCGCAACCTTGCTCAGAGACGGGCAGCTAGGCAGCAGAGGGCTACCGTCGCCGCGATGAAAGACAGGCGCGAGTCGAGTCCTCATGATGACTGCCTAGCCCTACTGCTAGCAGCGTCCATGGGCCGCGGTCAATCATGATCGGAACATTGTGATTACACATCTTCTAAGCTCCGAAACAAGCGCCAGCAAGAGCTTGAAGCGTTCCGCACTCCGCAGGCCTACCTACAGCTATACAGTAGCCATCAGGATGATGGAGCCTGCGGAGCTTGAAACATGCAACACTCACACCTCCGCAGAGTGTTGATGCTGTCTCTCGTGCGAATATGCACCTCACGTGCCCGAACGGCAATTAATCACCAATGGTGAATGGTGAGTCACATGCAGTCATGTGTGTGAATCACGGCGAGCACACGCACGCGTGGCCGCGTCGCGGCGGGATGTGCGTGTGGCTTGCAAAAATGAGAAGAAATTTGATTTCTTCCCAACACGTCAAGGGTCGCTCGCGCGCAACGCGGCCACAGCAGGCAGAAGAGGAGCGAGCGCATCAAGACCAAACAAAGAGAAGGGCAGTGTAAAGTCGCGACCAAGTTTCAGACGCAGCCGAGAATTGCGTGCTTTGTGCGTTGGAGGTCGAGTGCGCTTGCACCGATCTAGGCAGCAGCCCTCTCTATACAGGTGCTCTGCTGGCTCTGTCGGTCAGCTTCGGCGGCATGCGAGGCGTGCAGTGCAGTGCATTGGCAGTGCGGTACGGTATACCTATACGGTACTACAACTGCTGACCGTCAGGCAACAAAAGTCTTCCCGCAATCAAAGTTGTTGCCTCGCTTCAACTTCTCCACAACGCGCGCATTCAAAATATTGGTTCTGGCTTGCATTCAAATTAGGAAGATCCTTCACACGCCCGACCACAGTCCCCTCATCCACCACACATCACCCACCATCAAGTATTCTCTCATACTCGTCTCTACCGCAACTTGCACGTGTCCTTCATCATGGCCAATCCTCCGCACGGTGGTGTCCTCAAGGACCTCGTTGTCCGAGACACTCCCATTCAGGCTCAGTTGCTTGCAGAGACCAAGTCGCTGCCCGACATTATCCTGACCGAGGTGAGCAAGACAGCCTTCAAGCCAAGCGCCTCTCTGCGATTCCCGATCCGCTAACCTTTCTTTTGCGCTACTCTATGGCCGCAGCGACAATTGTGCGATCTCGAGCTCATCATCAATGGCGGCTTCTCACCTCTGGAGGGCTTCTTGAACCAGGCAGACTACCAGTCCGTGCTGGACAACATGCGCCTCACCAACGGCGCACTGTGGCCCATGCCCATCACGCTTGATGTGAGCAAGGATCAAGCTGAGGCTCTCAAAATTCAAGCTGGTGCTCGCGTCACTCTGCGCGACCCCAGGGATGACAACCCCATCGCTATCCTGACGGGTGAGCATTTGCGCACTTGTCACCTCACACCTCCGCCGCGTCGCTGACGAATGAGGGCCCGCATGCGCACGATCTTCAGTGTCGGACTTGTACCCTGCCAAGAAGCAAGAGGAGGCCGCCAAGGTGTTTGGCAAGGATGACCGCGCTCACCCTGCCGTCGCTTACCTGCACGACAACGTCAAGGAACTCTACGTTGGAGGAGCAGTCCAAGCCATCTCCAGACCTCGCTACTACGACTACGTCGAGCTGCGCTACACTCCTGCTGAGCTTCGTCTGCACTTCCAGAAGGTGGCGTGGAGGAAGGTCGTCGCTTTCCAAACCAGAAATCCCATGCACAGGGCTCATAGGGAGCTGACTGTGCGCGCTTCTCGTCAAAGGCAAGCCAATGTTCTCATCCACCCCGTCGTCGGTATGACCAAGCCAGGAGACGTGGACCACTACACTCGCGTACGAGTCTACCAATCCCTGATGCCTCGCTACCCCAAGGGAATGGCTCACCTGGCTCTCCTGCCCTTGGCCATGCGAATGGGTGGCCCTCGCGAAGCTCTTTGGCATGCCATCATCCGCAAGAACTTCGGCGTCACTCACTTCATCGTTGGCCGCGACCACGCAGGTCCCGGAAAGGACAGCACTGGCAAAGACTTCTATGGGCCCTACGATGCGCAGACTCTCGTCACCCAATTCAAGGACGAGCTTGGCATCGAGATGGTTCCTTTCCAACAGATGACCTACTTGCCGGCTTCGGATGAGTACCAGCCAGTCGATGAAGTTGCAGCTGGCACACAAACGCTCGACATTTCGGGCACGGAGCTCCGTCGAAGGCTGCGCAACGGAGCGCCCATTCCCGATTGGTTCAGCTACGAGTCGGTCGTCAAGACGCTTAGGGAAAGCTACCCTCCCAAGGCGCAGCAGGGTTTCACCGTATTCATCACTGGACTCTACAACTCGGGCAAGGATGACCTTGCTCGTGCTCTGCAGGTCAAGCTTAACGAGCAAGGTGGAAGAAGCGTGTCTCTGCTTCTCGGCGAGACTGTCAGGTCCGAACTCTCTTCTGAGCTTGGCTTCACTCAAGAGGATCGCCACAAGAACATTCAGAGGATCGCCTTTGTTGCCGCTGAGCTTACGCGTGCCGGCGCAGCAGTGATTGCAGCTCCGATTGCGCCGTTCGAAGCGTCTCGCAAGCTCGCAAAGGAGACTGTGCAGAAGACGGGAGGTGCGGGCAACTTTTTCCTCGTTCACGTCTCTACGCCACTCCAAGTTGCCGAGCAGACGGACAGGAAGGGCATCTACGCAAAGGCGAGAGCAGGGCAGATCAAGGGATTCACTGGTGTCGATGACCCTTACGAGGACCCTACCAACGCCGACCTGACCCTCGACCTCTCTCAAATGACCATTGCTGAGGGAGTCCATGCCACCATTCTGACCTTGGAAAGCGACGGTTTGCTCCAAGTGTAATGCCCTTTGCGTAGCGACTCGGGCTCTGGGGCACAATGCGCGAGCGCCACGGCTTGCACAAGGCATTCCAAAACGCGAAATGTGCGTAGAGCTCGGTCTGTGCGTAGAGTGCTTGTTCATCTGGCGACCAAAAGTATAGACGCGGAATGCATGCTAGATCATCCGGGATCTGCCAAGACTGCAAGCCTGCGGCTGACCCGACGAGCGAGTGGCTGAGTTCGTCTTTCGATCGGAGGGAAGGGCGGGCACAAAGCCGCATATGCGCGAACCTTACTATCCTGACCTAATCACCTCTACCGTGGCCCTTCAGTCCCTCTTTAGAGCGCCTGCATGCACGGCCAAGTGGCGCTGTCAAGCATTGTTGTAAATGCTTGGGTGCTGGTTGCCGCCATGGCCTCGCACGCCGCCCGATTACTTTTAACGCCACGCTGATGGATGAGTCGGCGAGCGACTCCTCGGTCTCCCTCGACGCCCGATCGTCCCGCACCACGGGGGGGAGGGGCGGCGGAAGCTTTTCGGGAAGGATGGTCATGATCGAGGAAGAGAATTGATCAGCGGCGCAGCGCAGACAAGCCGCATACACGCAGCCTCGAGTCACTTGGCTCGGCGTGTCATCGTCTCGCAAGACTGACGCGCAAAGCGTAAGCGCTTCGACCAGCGATGAAGGAACCAACGATTCAAGGACTCCTGGCTTCCTTTGCTGACCAGCGCGGAGAAGAGGTGGCGAGTGGCCTGTGGCAAGGCCGTTCGCAAGTGCATGTCCAGTGCGCGTGCGCAAAGGTCACCTAGCTTGTCTAGCCCTTTGCACAACGAGCTAAATTGATGCGCTCGATTCTTCACTGCAAGGTTCAGTTTCGGAGCTATTGACTCGCAATGGAAAAGACTATCGCTAGCCCGCGGACTACGGCGCTTCGCTGGTCGGTCGGTCATTTTGTGTGCAGACCTTTTACGCCACTGCCGCGTTGCCTGGGGATTCGCAGCGCTTAGAATAGAAGGAGCGGAGCAAGCTTCGAATGGCGAGCGCCACCACACTGCGGCTCGCTATGGCCCTTTGGCCCTCTTCCTCGAATCGGCGCCGTGCATGTGGCACATGTCCCGGATCAGGCAGGCTCGGGCGCGATGAAAAGGTTTAAGTAGGCCGTTTCAATGCATCGTCCCTCTCTTCTTGGCTCCAAGCTCATCCACTTTTGCTTTAACCACCTAGCGTGCTGGCGCGCAAGTCTTCTTCCAAACATCCGCAAGATCGGACACTTTTTTTCTCTTCTGTTCTTTTTTTCCTGGCTAGCAATCATGCGTTTCTCCGCTGCGTTCGCAGCACTCGTCATCTTTGTGGCTGTTGCTACTTTTGCTTTCGCAGAGCCGACGTCTGGGGTCGACTCCGTGGAGGTCAAAGTCGTTCGTCGAGCACCCAGCATTCGGGTCGAAAACGACAAGGCAGCCATTGATGAGCCTCGCTTCCAGAATGACGGACTTTCGGCATCGCCTCTCGAACTCGCTCGTCGTCAACCCCACAGCGAATCGGGGTCGAGTGCAAAGTCCAAGCCTCGCCTTCGTCTCTCTAAGCGCGCACAGGCGAAGCTTAACAAAAGAACCAAGATGGCTGCCGCGACTGCCTATTCAGCTCCTATCGGCAAGCGCGCTTCGCAAAGTGGTCATGAAGTTGTGACCGTGCTGGTTGCGCGCAATGTACCCATGGGACTCATTCATCAAGCTCTCAAGATGAACATGGAACGTCGCGAGGATGCACCTTCCTCTGTAGGCGACGGAGGTGAAGCTTCCATCGAGCGACGAGAGCTGTCCATGCTGGACCCTCGCTGCTTCGGCATGAGCGATAAGGACGTGCTCCACCATCCTTACGAGGATCGCAAATACATCCGCTCACAGATCAGAGCGTCCGAAAAAGCTGCGAAGAAGATCGTCAAGGCTGCCAGTTGGAAAAGCGAGGCGCACATGACCGAAGATAGACGTCCCAGCAATCGAAGCCTCCTTTCGCAGCTTTTTAGATATTTCTCTCCTCACAAGCGCAGTCTCGAAGAGGAAGAGGAGCATCAACGATCTCAAGATCTCTCCAAGCGAGAGTTGTGTAGACGCGATGACCCTACCTCGATGCTCGATCCGCGCTGCGGCTACGATAGCGATGCCGACTCGGACGACGGTCGCCGTATCAGAAAGGTCGGCAAGTCCACCGCATCCATCAGAAAGGCTTGGAGCAGTGTGGAGGCTGGTGCCAACTACTTCCATCTGGGTCAGATCAGGCGCCCGCATCTGGGAGGCATCTGGAACAAGCTGACGAGGTACTTCAAGATTCATCGACGTGGACTGGACAAGCGCGAAGAGGAGCAGCACGAGCTGTTCCTGAGAGACTTTTGTAGACGAGACATTTTGCGCGTCTCGATGGAAAGAAGACAAGCTCGGGAGCTGGAACGTCGTCAAGTCCGATCGGCGTCTGGCGGTGATGTCGCTTGAAGACCAGCAAGGGAGGCGAATGCGAGGGCTGGCGCGACGGTGCGACCAATGGCTTCATGTGAAGAAGGGCCGAGACTTAGCGTGGCGGGTCACAAATAGTCGACGCTGCGATAGTAATGCAATTGAAGTGGGTGAGGATCGAGTGACTCTGACTCTTGAGCTGTGAAATGATAGAAAGACGGTGACACAAAGCAAGGCAGCAGGCGTGCGAGTGAGGTTTGAAAGACAGAGGCAGAGATGTTTGAGGTGAGGCGTCGAAGACAAGGGCTAGCCAAGACTCTAGAGATCCTTGGCGACTTTATTAGCCTCCAACAACGCAGCAAAGAGTTCGCACACTGCTTCTGTCCTGGTATTGTCTCGGTCAGGCAGCCAAATTTGTAGGTAGCCCGACAGCGCTTCGGCCCTCAATGCCCACTTTTCCATCTTGAGAGCCAAAATTTCCCGCTTAAAGTCTCGTATATTGATCTCTTCTTTGCGAAGGAGCTGTTCAGCAGATTTCGTCTTTGACAAAATTGCCAGATCCGTGGAATGAAAGGTCTGCCTGTCCGCAGCATCCTCGGGTTGAGCCGTTGAGGATCCGCTGCTGTTCGAGGCGCAATCTTCAGTGCCATACACGTTATGCTGAGCTTCAATTGGTCGACGATGTGCCGCACCCCTCTCTCGAGCAGCCATTGCCTCGTGCACTTCCATCCTGCGACCTCCTAGCAACCTTGCAGAGTCTCGTGCGTCCCCAAAGCTATTGAGCAGATCGGTAGCTGCTATCAATCGAGCGTTTGCACGACGCAGAAGCGAATTCCTGATGTGACGGAGTCGGAAGTGCATCTCCAACAGCAGCAACACTCTTCCAGAAAATCCAAGGCTGTCAGGCCAGGGATGGAGTCCCAACGTCAGTCATGCAGCACGAAGGTATTGGAAGAACCGTTGATCAGAATCGATCGTCCGCACTCACATCAGTCCAATCTTCTCTGTCTTGGTCCTGCTTCTGAGTCCAAAGCCTGACACGATCCGATACCTCAGGCTGTTTTTCTCTCCCACCATCAAGCCTTTGTGCAAATGACCCAAGTACGAAGCGAGCTCCAAAGTCTCACCGGTGATGATCATGAGCTCAGCCGAGTGTTGTGCCAGCAGATGAAAGCTCTGATACAGGTTGTAGTACAAATTCGCCAAGTGGGCATTGCGACCGGTTGCGTGAGCCTCATCAGGATGGTCCAATTGATCATCCTTTCTCAAATCCGTCCACTTCTCCGTACTGTTGACGAGAACACCTGCTCTATCCCTTCTTCGCCCATGAAGTAAAGGAAATTGGAACTTTGTAAAGTCCACCATGGTTCGGAAGGCGACATATGTGAGACGACTTAGAGTCAAAAGTGTTTGAGCGCCGCTAAGGAATTCGGACGTGGCTAGCAAACGTTTAAGGGCCTGACGACGAGTCGAGGATCGAAAGATCATGAAGAGCAGCAATGGCGAGACAGCGCTGAGCTTCCTCTTTGGAGACGATAAGAGAGAATAAACAAGCAGAAGACTTGCCTCGCCAAGGTGCTATCGCAGCGAGAGAGGTCCAATCAACAGTTGCACTCGGTCTGCGCAAGATGAGCTTGCGCTACTTACCATGACGGCCTCCAGCCCATCCCAGCTTCCCAGCAAATTCCCAAACGCCCTCTTCCATCCTCGGGCTGCGTGCGGTGTGAGCCAAGTCTGCAACCTGTGATCCACAATGCTAGCAGCTCGTCCAGCAAACGATCCAGCCACATCCACTTCGTCTTTGCCTCCTTGTCGTCGTCCAGCTATCGAGGCGCGCGCACCATCTTCTCCCTTCGCACCTGCCTCTGCCTGCTCGTTCGAAATGCCGCGCCTCTTCTCCTCCTCCTCATGTGGTGCACTGGCCGGTATGAATGTGGTCACGTCCGCATCGTACCTGTTGCGAGAGGTAGAGCTGGAGCCTGAGCCCGATGCTTGCGCGTTCGACATGATGACGCCGTCTCGCAGCTGGCCCAGCGGACGCTCTCCAGAGCCGAAGCTATGATGTCGCGGGGGAGCAAGACTGTCAGGAATGAGGTGTTATGGTTGTGAGTGCGAGAAACGGCAAGCACACGTGGGTGTCAGAAGTCGTTTGAAATGTGGATCAATCAAACGACGCATACAAACACGACTTCTCACGATCCGCAATCGGCATGATTGCTGCGCATGGCGCGTGCACGGTTCGCGACCGAGGTTCGAGAGCAGGAGCGCTCATCCCACCTGCAATCTCATACCTAGCCTTGACTTGCAGTCAGTCCACCCACGAGACGTTCAAGTCATTCTGAATGAGTGGACGCTCACAATTTGATGCAATGACTGGTACATCGATCATAAAACAAGCGTCGGGCCAGACTCCTTACCACGCGTTGTACCCTCGGAAGAGTAGCCAAATCCAATAGCGAGAGGGGCCTATCGAACCCTCTATGCTTTCTAAAAGCGCCGCCTGGGGCGATGCCTGTCCGTTTGCCTCGCCTTGCGCATTCAACAATCAGAGTGCGAAGTTGTACGTGTAAATTGGCTCGAAGGGCTCTAACATGATTGTAATTGAGCGAAAGGGGAGGGCGGTTGAACGTTTCGATCGACACACGCTTAGGTGACGGAGAGGTTGCCAAACTTCTCGTCGTAGCCGGGCACGGTCCACTTGCCCTTCTTGACCATCTCCTCCACCGTCTTGCCAATCTCGGGACGCGCAGCAATGACTTCCCCGACGGTGAGCTGATCAAAGGGACGAGCGTCCTCGATGTTTTTGAGCGTAGCCTTCAAGTCCTTTAGCTCCGACTCGATCTTGGAAGCCGTCGCTTGGGCTTGCTCCACCTGGTGGAAATCATTCGACAGGAATGTCAGCACTGCGCTCTGTCTGCGGTACGTCGCATTCGATATCCGTGACATGCTAGTTCCAAGCAGACCACCCCAACACCATACGCAAAGCCCATCACTCGCTGTCTCGCTGTCTAACTCCGATGCAATTTGGCATCTCCAATACTCACAGCTTTGGCCTCAAAAGCATCGATAGATTTGAGTTGAGCGCCGACATCATAGCTGACCGGCTTGAACTCCTTGAGAATCTTTTCTGCCTGTGCCACTACGTCTTGGTTCTGTTCGCAAGAAGGTTTGTATCGAGAATCAGCCCTGTGCTCCGCTCGTGCCACTGTCGCGACGTATGAACGCGTGCGGTA